CCACCCACCGCCCCGCGAGAGGGGGGGGGCCCCGCCCGCCAATAACCGCCTTTATCTGCGATCAGCAGGCTGCTACCTTTTGCGAGGCGCTCTCTTTTTTATTTTTTTTTTCTTTCCCCTGTCATCAACTAGCTAAGTAAATTGGTTGATAGATTTTTAAACAGCACAGTCACGCGTGGAAGAGTCAGAGCAATTTACCAAAACAGTAATTATCACCTTTCAAAGACTTTTTTTTTTTTTTTTTTTTAAAGTTCCAGTTCGGGTTGGTGCGTTCTGCCTTTCTTTTAGACAAACAAACCGGTCCCTTCCTGTTATATATATATATATATAAATTTCCACACCCCACCCCACCCCCGATCATATATTTCAGGTTTGGAATTTGTGCCGGTAAAAGTGAGATCTGTCTTTTCAACTCTTTCACGGAACCCAAGCGCTTGTTAGCAATAGTCTAAATGGCCTCAGAGCAGACAAGTGCCAGACTGTTTGGGGAGCCCATGCTTCTTCAGGGAAATCATATTATAAATGGTGTGATTTTACCAGTGTTTCCCAAAAAGTGCTTCTTTGCACCCCAGCATACGTTGGGCACAGAAAGCGATACAGCGCTGACGCACACATCGAGATGTGAGGTGTCACAATCATGTATTTTGAATTTTCGCAGGCATTTTCTTGGGACAGTTTCTCCTTTAATCTGTTTTTGTTTAAGGTAAAAGCAGATAGCTGCTAAAAGTTCTAGCAGACTAATAAAGTTATTGAGGGTTAAAATGCTAAATGCAGACTTCATTGTATAAACACACACACCCCAAAACAGCCAAAATTCTCCAGCACTTATGTTTTCTCGCTTAACCCCCTTAACTCCTGTTTACCATATCACTAGTAGCACAAAAAAAAAAAAAAAAAAAAAAAAAGAGAACTTTCCTGGGTTTCATCATCCCTCTCTGAACTTACAAAAAGAAATTTTAAAAGGACAGATTTTTGTACAAGTCAATGTGTGAATGGCATAGGCTGCTAGACATTCAAAGGCTGTTGCTAGGACGTTCCAAGACAGTAAAACATCTAAGAGGCAATTAAACATTGAAATTTTGGATTTAAATCTCTCAGCTCCTCTCTGGTTTTAGAGTATTTTATGTTTTAAATATTTCATTACTATGATTCCCAGTTAATCTGGCTTGTCTCTGCAGAAAGCAATGTATATACTTATGACTCAAGTTTATCCAAGAATATAGTGAATGTAGTCTTATGCAAAAAATATAACCACAGATGGAGAGATATGAAAAAGCTACCTGAAACCTGCTGCTTTTTTCCTACAAACTTACGCTCCCAGTGAAGTCTCCAAACTAATTAGAATTGATTTATTATGGATCAGGTACCTTATCAGGTGAAGAAAGAAATTACCATGGACAGTCAAAGGGTTGAGAGGTCAATACAGAATAGCAAAATCAATTTGCATTGATTAGACAAAAGGTCCATTTTACAGAGCCCAAAGGATTAACTTTTAAGCAAACATCTTTGAACTCTAAGACAGCATTTGTGACTGAGAGGTATAAGCAGCGCAGCATTAGAAAACACTTAAGATATTTAAATAAGAAAATAATGCAAGCAATGGTTTAAGCTATCTGGATGTTTATTTTTTATTATGAATCATCCCCAGGATTATTGTACAATTCACTTGAAAGCCCTATGCAAAGGATGCAATTGTTTCATTTATCCCGTGTGTCAATCTTCCCATGAGTTTTCATTCAGGTAAGGTGACTAAACTTGGGAGAGTTGCAGAGAAGGGAGAAAATCTGTGCAAAGGATCGCACTAATCCTGGTGTTGCTTGCGATGAAATATTTACTTGGCAAACGCTAGTGTTTTACCACCAAAACTGATGAGACCTTTTTTCCCCAGTGAGATACTGTTGTAAAACAGATCTGAAACATGAAAAAAGGAAGGAGGCTCCCTTCTGGGGGTCACCTTTTCCATTTTCTGTGGCACCGAAAGCAGCGCGATGCTGCAGGAAAGCCAGGAGAGCATTACTGCAACAAAAAATGAACAACCCCAGACAAATATTCTTTACCTCCTCATCACTTTGTTTTCAAAGTTTCTTCCAAGGAGACCATATTTCTTTGTCCCATGTCTTGGGACCTTTTTTTTCCCCCCTTGCTTAAGGAAACTTAAGAATGGGATCGTGGGCCCAGTGTATTTGCTGTGTGTTATCACTGGAAATGATGTAAATATCAGCGTTAATTCTTAACTGGGCTTCAGAAAAGCCTCCGTGTTTGGTACTTTCAGGTAGCCACCTTTGGCACAAGCATTTTCCTCCCCTCGGTACCCGGCATTGCTCTTACCTTCAA